CCGCAAATGCCTGCAGGTACTCATTACGGCTGCAAAGGGTGGATCCACCAGGGCTTGGTGGATCCGCCTCTCCGATCGCGTCAGATCCCCCTCCCAAAGCGTTTCAAAGGTAAGTTTTTAAGTTAGTTATACTTTATATGTAACTGACTAGGGCTAGTGCTTCTACCCACCCCATTAGCATCGAACTTTTGGAACCCTCCTGAGACTGTTGCTTTAAAGTCAGAGAAGCGCCTATCAGCCTACTTACCGCTAGACACTACCTCTGATGTGAATAGAAGTGAAATTTTTTTCGAAACTGAAACAAGAAAATGGTCCTATAGGAAAAGGGAGGGCGCTTATGTCCTTAGGTGGGGGGGGGGGGACATTCAAGTCAGTGAGCTAATTATTGAGCCTGGGACTACCTCAGGCTATGGCAGGGATCCTGGAGGAGGATATGAGCAATTTGCATTTTTCTTGGCGTTTCTCTCCTCTCCTGGGCTTAGTACTAGCGTCACCTACAATCGTCAAGAAGTTAGACCAGGAAAAAGTGATAAGATCTCCTTATCCCTTCTTTACTTCTTCAGGGTTGAATCGTAGGAGGAATAGCTGAATAATTGCTTTGAGATGTTGTACGCATTTCGAGCGCATTCGTTCACTGAATACATAAATAAATAAATAATTTAATAAATAAATAAATAAATAAATAAATAACAATAAATGAATGAACCAACAAATCAATAAATAAAACAGTGTTACGAGGCAAAGCGCAAAAATAGTGTAGCGAAAATAAACCGTATGAACGGCGCCAAATGACGTCAGATTTCAGAACTTTTTAATTTGCAAATATTTATTTTTACTTATGCAAGACTTAACTTCATTTAAAATCTTATCTTGGCTATATAGAAAGTGAAATTCGCCAGAGTAATGGTGACTACTCCAACGCGAAAATGATTGGCTGATTGGTGGGAAGGCTGAAGTCCACCCTCAAAATAAGAAGCTAACAGCTAACAGCACAAAAATAACGCGAACAGCGGAAGGCGGTATCGCAAGATGGGTTGTCCGCAGATAGGCGCAAGACCGTAACTGGTATCGCACTTGCCCGGACAGCGAGAGATGCGGGTTCGAGTCCCGTCTGGGGCAAAAGTTTTGTTCACAGCCCAGCACCCTTCTTTCGCCCTTCTTGTGAAAGAAAAAAGACGTTTCACGCGGTTTTAGATGCATCGGCACCACAATGCCCCTTACCCAACAATAGTGCCCAGCAGGCTCTGCGACCGCGCAAGAATGCTGCGTTCAGAGTTAGATTAGCTATGACTTTTGGGTACTACAAGAACAGAGATTTTGCGAAGTGTACAAATGCCAAGTCGACGCGCTTATGTCTTGGAGGTGGGAGGGGGGAGGGACGTTCAAGTTGATGAGCCGTTTAAGTGATTCGGAGGAGGCCATCACGTAACCTCGCGTCAAGATCACGGAAACATCCAATCTCAGGACCAAGCTTTTGAAGAAGGGAGGAACCCCGGTGTGAGAAACTCTGTGTATTCTCCGGTGTTTTTCCCTGCTGCCTAGGCTTACTTAGTCCAAAAGACATTTTGACGCTCATGTCGTTGGGGGGAGGGGCACATTGAAGTGAGTGAGCCATTTTTAGAGATTGGGACTAAGCTGTAGGGAATCTGGAGAAGAGCATGGGTATCCTTTGTTCTGCATGGCGTTCCTATCCTGGGCTTGGTCTTTGTATCGCCAACCAGCGGTTTTGAACGTCCTGTCTGAGTGTCCCCCCCCCCCTAAGAACATGAGCGCAGGCCTTCTACAGAGCGGCTCCCTCCAAAATATTGCGCCAGCCTTAGGCAATGACAAGGATTCTGGAAGAGGATTTGAGCAATGTGTGTTTTCCTTGACGGTTCTTCCATCTCCTGAGCTTGATCCTAGTGTCATTTATCAGTGGCCCTGTTGTGATGTCCCTTCTCCCCTCCAGGGCATGAGCGCCCTATAACCCATCGTAGTCCAATACAGGTGAAAACCACGTAAAGGCGCACTGCCACGGAGCAAGTAGTCTGCAATTTTGCGTCGAAAGTACCGTAGCCCACAAACTATTGTATTATGCATATTTCATTCTTCAAAGGTTTAGTCTGATGTGAAAAGGAAATCTGTGAACCAGCTAAAAAGGGGGTCGATCAGTCCAAGTTTGTGAATTGATTAAAGAGAAGAAGTAAGAAAACCGTACTATAACGACGAAAGGGCACAGTTGGGTAGATTGACTGGCTTCTGATAAGGCGATTTGCTCACAACGCTTTATCACAAATAATGATCTGATAGTATCATTGAATAGGGTGTGCCAGTGGGTTTCATTTCTTGTTAGTGTGTACACGACGAAGACGGCCGTGGCGGTTAAATGTGTATTCCGGGGAGGCTGAGGAACCATGGATTTGCTGCTGATCACGTCAATCACGGTACAGCTGCCGAAGGCTCCTTGACTATAATCGATTCAGCCAGACCAGTGAAAACACCAACACAAGGAGAAGAAGGGCAGAAACCGAAGAAGAAATCCAAAGAAGCTGATCGTTAATCAATCATTAATACTGTACTTGTGAACTTTGAATAAATTGTAGTTTTAATACGTCAAATTCAATTTATCAAGAGAGAATCTATAGGTAGAGACAATCAAATCAGAAACGAGAACGGTGAATCGAAAGCGGCTCAAATGTATACGAAATGAAAGCACTGGTAGGAATTTCGGGAAGCTCCTCGGCTATTTGGTTGGCACGAGTTTGAGGTCCATGCTCAGTATTGGTGGTGTTGAAAACCTGGCTTGGGCACTATCGCAAGGTACGGGATTTGTGGTTGCGATGCATTTAAAATCGCGTAAAACATCTCGTTTTGATGAAAACGGAGCGCTTATGTCCTTGGGGGGACATTGAAGTGAATGAGCCACTAGCACAACTTGGGACTGAGCCCTAGGGAGGGCAAGAGATTCTGGACAAGGATTTTGAACATCCGCTGTTCTCCCTGGTAATTATACCCTACCCTGGGCTAAGTTCTAGGGTCACCTACCCGCGGTTTTCGGAAGGTAGTTTCGAATGTCTCCCCTAAGGACATGGGCGCCGAAAACGGGACTGTTGGGCCCTGGGCGTAGGAGGACAAGACTTCGTAGGCGCAAGCAATCATACTTTTCCCAAAGTTCTTGCATTCATCTAAGTTTAGTCCTAGAGGGTGCCACCGTAACTTTCCATAGCACCCTTCTTGTAGTTATTCTTTGCTTTGAAGTCCTGAAATTTGCTGAGGCTTTTCATTGCTTTCAATCTGCCCGCCTACCCTTCTAAGGGATCGTATGTAGTGCGGTCTTCACCGATGTTTGGCGTTTTTTCATGAGTACGAGACCTTATAGCGGGCTCAAATACTGTTCGGGAGGGTGAGAATGGGAGAACATCATTGTGCGGATAGTATGACACACCCAGCATTCCCCCTTCTAGTCCACCCAGGACGAAGTAGGAAGCCAAAGGGGGGGGGAAAGCGACTAGGGGGATGCCAGCGATTTTCATTTTCTCTGAAGTTCATTCTCTCCTCCCTATGTTTAGCCTGCATGGCAACGGAATGCCCCTAGGTTCACTAGCGTCTAATCGCAAGATTTTTCTGCCAAATTGTATAGTAATTTCAATTTACTTCATTTTTATGCTTTTTTCTCATTCTGGGGGAGGGGGGGGGGCAGGAATTGTGGCATTTGCACTACTAAAGTACGGCTAGTTCTCACAAGCAGCGCTAGCTTGATCCCCCAGCTCTACCTAGATCACCGTGGTTTCAACCAGATAATCAATCCCAGAATGATGGAATCAACGGTGATATCTGATTCACTCTTGGAATAAAATGCGGCGCTGGAGCAGATAGTGGAGATGTGTATCATTAGCAAAGAGCTCACATATTCAACACCTCAACCTAGTTCCCCTCCTTTGGATCGAGCCTAATTGTTAGGAGAGATTAGGAGGTGGGCGGGGGGGGGTGAGCGTACAATTTTCGTTTTCCCCGGAATTCCTCCTTTCCTAGGCTCAGTCCGCACAATGATGCCACTACCCTTACCAAAGCCTAAATTACTGAGCTACATGTACGTGCACTGAAAAAGGGCTCCATGTTACAGAGAAGCAATAATGAAGATTCACTTGGTCGTTGTAAGTGATTGCATCCGGACATTGCATTAAAAATCCACCACAATTTTTCAGTAGAAGCGAAATGGATGGTTTATTCCTAATGCACCGATGAGCGTCAACTGCTCTCCTTCGAAAAGAAGGGTTCAGTTCCGAGACAAAACTCCGTAAGATTTCTGTGGAACAAGAAAAATTGAAAGCTTCCCGATTGGGAAGGGACCCCACTATTAACGAATCCTTTGGCTCGGATACAAATACCACAAGTAACCGATGTGATCTGATATAATTACAGCCGCATCGATCGATTCTGCAGCTACCAATGTGGTATTGATTCCTTGTATCGATCGATCGATCACCAATCGCGGTGAACTTGCTGTATGAAATGGTTCGTGAATGTTTTATGCAGACTTTTCCAAGTAGACCGGTCGATTGATTGCTTCGAATCAGCTCATCTATTCCTCATGATGGATCGATGTGAAATATCGATCTACATAAAAGAATCCACGCTTTTAACAGAGCGAGTGGGTCGAACCAAAGATCAAAGGCTACAAGTGCGTCGGCGCCTCTCGCCACTGCGCTACACGTGGCCCATATTGATTTTGCATGGCACCACACAACTCATGGAAAAGAAGAACTAGATAGAAGTTATAGTTTGGGAAAGAATAGCAATATTTAGGAGAAAATCCTGCGTTTCTCATTTCCTTTTTATTTCCATAGTTATTCGCTCTATAGCAATCATAGAAACTGTTCTTATGTTGTTTATATTTACTTTGAATACTTGTAAACAAACATCTCAGGTATGTGTGGATGGTTGAGCAATCATCACTGACTGTATGGTGCGAATCACGTCACGTAAACAACGAGTGCGATGTTAAGCGACTCAGCTACCGTGCTCCGTTGGCGCAGTTGGTTAGCGCGTGGTACTTATAAGAATGAGAAATGCCGAGGTCGGGAGTTCGATCCTCCCACGGAGCAAAAAATTTGCAATTTTGATTTCTAACTAGTTGAACACTTTCTAACCACTATTTGTGAAGAAACTCGCCAAAAAACTCGAAAACAAGTCGTAATCGGGCAGTTTTAATTGGCTTTCGGGTGAATTTGATGAGATCTTGTCAAAAGACCTCAATTTTTACAGGATTTTGACTCAAAAAGGCTGTATTTTACATAGAAGAGACAAGATATCCGAAGTGCTGAATGACCGGTGTTCCAATCGGACCAAAATAGCCATTTTTGGTCAGATTTGTCCAGAAACCGAACACTTCCCAGCAGTTGTTCAGCCCTTCTTCCTCCTGCTTCCATCGCCCGGGTGGCTCTGGAAACCCTCTACCTGACTTTTCTCCACAACTTCGGAGATTACAACTCGAATGCGTGCTATAAGCGCAGAAAAAGCCCAAGCGACACAGCATACGCCATGCACGCGTGGCTCCTCAAAATCGCTCGAGTGATTGATAGGGTGGTCCTCGTGATTGATAGGGTGGTCCTTCCATTTAAAACTCACAATGTTATATGAGTCAGTGTTTCTATGTCGATACAAGATTTATCGTCTTAGTATATAACTTTAAGGCTATATTTATCTTTGAATGATGAGGAGTTTTGTCAGTGTTCATGAAAAATTGAACATGTCGTCAATCATTCGTGCTGTTCAATGGCTTCCTTGAAACAGCCGCCGAATCATCTATTGGGATAGAAAATTGAAGCTTCTTGGTTGCTATTTGATGATGTTCCTCTTGCTTTGTTTTTATATCCCGTCCGAATTCCATTCTTTTCCACTTTCTTTTCACTTTTTATTCTTTCTTTTCTACCTCTCTCAAGCTGCTTCCTAAAAGGCATATCCCATGGTTACACCGGCATGAATGGTACCCTCGAAGAATGGAAGTATTAACAACTGCAGAAGGAGTTTTCTTTGGCAAAAAAACCCGCTAAAATGCCCTATAGCAGGCCTTTCTTTTCGAACTGTTTTTGCACTTGATCTTTGTGGATGGCTTGATTCCTGAGCGGAATCCCAGTACCCAGATTATACTCAGTCTTCGAGTAACCCCGTCCTTCTGATGTTTTGAATTTATTACTCAGATGTTTAGTTTTCTTCTGTTGCGATTCACTCGATCTTTCTCGTCGGAAAGCTTCACTCCACTGAACTGAAGCATGGTTTTCACTTATTTCCACCGTATGAGACCGGATCAACGAAAAAGATTCACATGATGTTTTGAAAAACTTATATAAAGTTCGAATAGTTATTTGCCGCTGATCCGCAAGTCGAGACTACCCTGTATGTCATTTCCGACTGTGTTCCTAACCATTTACCAATACTACATAAGTGTTTCGCATGAAAGTTCGAATGAGGTTTCCTCCACTAAGAGGGACATTGCGGTGCACAGTCTGATCTAATGCCAATTTGGCTCGAGGAATCCTTGGAAGTTACAGTGTGCTATAATGCTACGTCTTTCTTAAGGGCTTTTTGTATATGGTACGTAATCTTGTGGGGGGGGGGGATTGATGGGGACCCACTTGGGACTAGGCCTAGGGAAGGAGGGAGCTCATGATTAAAAATGAAGATTGCCCATGCACCCAGGGTTCTCCGCTCTTATAAGGCTCAGTCTTGAAGTTCTGCAATAAAAGAAACCCGTGGTTCTGAATGCACGTAGCGCCCTACTCCGCTATACCCCCTCTTACTTAATGAGACCCTTCAAATGCTCTCACGTGGTGATCAAAATAATTTGATTGCTATAAGATGAACTAGTCATCATCGAGAGAGGAAAGCTTACGGTAGAGGATATTAGTGCTTGAAGGGAGCTTCTGAGCCGTCCCAGTATTAACTTATAATTACTTAAGAGCACAGCTTACGATAAAAAAAAAACAGCGCATTAGAAATCAAGGTAGGGTGGTCAGGGGTGTACGGTACATTCAAATTAGTATCACCACATGCAGCTCGCTACTTTTTTCTGTGGAGCTGCAGAGGAAAAAATGCTACAAAGCACAGTTTAGGAACTACTTCCACATTTCACCTCATTATCGTTGTGAGGAGATTTTACCTAGGGATGGTATTCGGCCTAATTCGAGGCTTGCTAGCTTGACATTCAAGCTTGTGGCAATGGAGTTGCCTCCGCCGTTCTTTGCACGACCCATTAATTTCCAGACAGCAATGATAACGATCATAGATTAAACGGCGAGATCACGATAGGGTCGCTGTTCGGACAAATCTTCCAGGTTGCCCGGAGGTTGATTGGAGGACAACAGCTGTGTGTTCGACTCGTTGTGACCAAAAGCCGGCCATAGTGGCAGCCCCAGTCAGCCGGCCAGAGCCATCCAACGGCTAAGTGTCACGAACAATTGTGCTCTCTCGTTCGGATGCCATCAATCGATGGACAGCTTGGCCATTCATCTCAACGTCTGAGCAATTCCTCTCATTGTTTCGAGTTCTCACGTCTATTCACTAACCTAAATCTTTATTCGTCTCATTTTCAAGTTTACTTGTTTCTCAGGAAGTGTTTTTCCAGATGCTACTCACCAGCTTTTAACAAGTGGTGAGATGGCCGTAAGAAGTAGTATCAGTTTACCCTCACCAAAAAGCTAATTAGAAACCTACTGAATCTGGCATCTATATTTCAATCAGGCCTTCACCTCTGCTTGTTGATTCCTTACCCTAGCCCTACCCTGCCCCGATCCCCCCCCCCCGGTATTGGAAGGCTTTCACGGCCACGCTCCGTTCCAAAGCGGCCGATTCATGGCCAAATTCATATTTCCTGACATGTTCCGATTTTTACTTTTGGAAGCTTCGATTTCCTCGTTTCCAGTTTTTATTTCTGAAGAGTTCGACGAAAGGTGCTAGTGTTCAAATGGGATCGCTGATATCATAGCCAACGGCAAAAAATGGCTTCAGTGTCGTTTTACCCGATGTCATTAGCTGGTTCAAAAAAAATGCCAATAATTGAACGAATAAGTAAAAGTAGCGCTATCTGAGGACATCCTCTGGGGTGGAGCCTAGGAGGGGCAGAGGCTTTAGGGAAAAAGAAAATTACGCACGCGTCCTAAATCTCTTCTCCCCCACTTGCCCTCGATCCAACAGAAAGGAGATGTTTGAAGCTGTTTCAAATGCATTGCCGCCATAATGCCCCCGTGTCTTGCGATAGGGCCATAAATGTTTTTGAAATTTTGACTTTTGGAGTTACATTGTCGCAGCATCCATGTATTGTTTCGACAACATGACTGTTTAAATGCCCAATCGGTCAGGAATGAACAAGCGTGAAATAGCGTGAAAAGCAGGAAGCCCCCGTAAGCCTGCTCAGAGAATCGTTTGACAGATTCGGAAAACAGATTCGAGATTAGCGTTCAAAACCACACACCATGGTATATGTCTCATTAAGTATGGCCACTTCGACCCACCAGCCTTCGACCCATGGCTGTAATGTTGTTGGGAGGGGAAGGAAGAGGAGCATCGTGATGCAGAGGACCCAAAGCATGAAGATGATAGAGTAATATTCACTTCGTCCCTTATTACTGGAGCAAACTCGTCCACCAACTCCGTAGGTTCCTGTTTCTGCGAGAATTGGGTTACTGTATCAAAGCCAAGTATTGCACCCCTCCACTGCTTGGTCACCCTCACTCCGTATGTATGAAGATTTGTAATGTATATATGTGCATTAATACCCATTCTAAGCTTTGTCCTATGTATGAAGGTGCTTTGTGGTAGCTCCACCTTGTTTTTGTGCCCAAGCAATTCAGATTCAAGCATGATCGTGAAGCTTGCTTCAGAGAAGCCTGTTTGCCTGTGAAGCCTGTTTCCTGAACTCGTTGTCTATCCCTACAAATCATCTTTGACTCACTGCTATAATTCTCGATGACCTCAATAAAAATGATGGATAAGGTTTTCAACGTTGATCAGTTTTATACGCCTCGCATTCTACCATCAAATCATGATAGGAATTGATTGCGATATGATCCACACACTGAATTGCGGGAAACAGGCGATGTAAAAGTCAGTGTTTTGTTCTCTCAGATTAGCTCAGTAGCACATGACCTACCCGAGAGGCATAGAAAACTTAGTTGGCCTCTGCGGGGTCCGATCACAGATTGATTTCCAGATTGGGCGCGTATGAATGAGCACTGCTGGCACTTGGGTCTACAAGACCTCCGGCTTGATATGACCATTATTTTCAACAATACAATGGCTCGATGAGGCCAAAACAACTTTACGCTGGGCTGGGAAATGTTAAAGGCAAAACTCAGGATCAGATGATGAGATAATTCCACTCAAATGTGAAAGTAGGGGTGGGAAGTGGACCGTCAGAGGAGAAAAAAGAAAAAAATCCTGAAATACGCAGGACATACGAGCCTTTTGCTCCACGCTGTGGAGAAGTTCCGAAGATCAACAAAGGGATGAGAGTCATGGGAGCGCGGAGAAAGGTAGAGAAGTACGTGTAGAGATATTTAGAAGATCAACATTGCAACGCAGACAAGATATCGAGCGGTGGGTGGGGCGTGCCACAATCGGTGGAGCGTGCCTAAATCCTTGGCGCCTAGCGTCCAGGGGCCGTTTTTTCGGTGTAGGAGCCTTCAGTTGTCTGGGCTCCTTACTTACCTTACCTTCTATAAGCTTCTGCAGTTCTACAATCAGCAACCTTCGATGGCACAAGTCCTCAACGGCTAAGCGGGCCCGTTACATCTGACCTAATCTAATTAGTTTGATCAGATATCATCCACCGTTTGTTAAGGATAGCGATTTTCTTTTGTTTTTTTTAAAGATTTGATTTTTTGATTTCTTTTTTGTCGAACATTTTCATCGATTTTGATGTCATTTAGAAGCTCGCAATCTGCCTAACATTTTGTGCATTCCTTGCAGTATGGTGTTGAAGGGATGGGAGAAAGATGATCTCTCTAGAAAAACTGATCAAGAAGTCAATGAAGCCATTGGGCGAAAAATTGGTGGATAATCCCGCTGTGCCTAATAAATGAACTGTGGTATGCTAAGCATTTATACT